CTGCAGGCAGTCCAGGCATTGCTGCAGGAAGGGGTGTCTGGGAAAATCCCTGCACTCCCTGGGATCCCTTCTTGAGCAGGATGTGTGGATATGCGCAGGGATGGGGGGTGCTCTGGGAGAGAGATGGCTGGATTTGGGGCACTGCTGCCTCCCCTTCCTATGCCCGCCATGAAGGAGCTTGGTTTTCCTGGGAGCCAAGTGGAAGCATGAGCCTTTTGTTCCTGTGAGTGCTAAAGTCCTCCAGGTACCTAAACTGGGCTGGGCAGGATCCAGATCCTGCTAGTGTCACCTCCACAGCCCAGACTGAGCTTCTGAGAGATGGCCATCTAGCCTGTCCTGGACTTCAGCGCTGTCTGATGAGACCTGGAGAAAGGCTCAAGGCAGGGTTATTCCTGCTTGCACCTGGGGCATATAGAGCTCCCCAACAGGCTTTTCTGCTCTCTGCAGCGAAGGGGTTTCTACAGAGGGCAAAGCGGCTTGGTGCACTGTGCAGGAAGACATCCTTCATTTGCACCCACACCGGCAGGCCTGCACCAAGGCAGCTGGGCTCACGTGCCCCTGCGTGCTGGGCTGCAGAGAGCCATGCAGTCACACCTCATGGGATCTTTCCTGGCTTCCCCCCAGTTAAACCAGCCCCGTCTTCCTTTGCATGGAGCTCTCCTCAGGACCATGGGCGATGCTGGGAGCCAGAGCCCTGAGGCTGGCAGCAGAAACAACGGCCCCTTGTCATTTTCCGTGTGAGCCAAAGATAGGAGCCGCATTGATCCTGCTGGCATCTGAAGCAGCTGGGAGCATCAGCCAAGCCGACTGCAACTCTGCGGATAAACAGCACGTGGGGAGCAGAGCGGGTGGCGGGGCAGCTTGGCTTCTTGCTGTCCCGTCAGGCTCCTTTTCTTCTCCCCTGCGCCCTCCTCCTCAGCAGCGTGATCAAATCCCCCAGACAGCTCCCAGGCACAGCGAAGGCACCGGCCCACGAGCAGGACAATAAAATCCCTGACATCACGGTTCGTGCGGGCTCAGCGGGGGGAGGCTGGCCTGGCTGCTCTGCTATAAAGCGGCCCTGCTCCCCACACAGCCTTGCAGCACAGTTGCTGGCCCTGTTCCTCCTGCACCCTCCAATGGATATCACTATCCACAACCCCCTCATCCGCCGGCCTCTGTTATCCTTGCTGGCGCCGAGTCGCATCTTCGACCAGACTTTCGGGGAGCCTCTGCAGGAGTCGGAGCTGCTCCCCACCTCCCCTGGCCTCAGCAGCTTCCTGATGCGGTCCCCCATCTTTCGGATGCCCAGCTGGATAGAGACAGGGCTCTCTGAGGTAACCTTCACTTCTTACTGCTCTTTGCTCTTGCTGCATGCACATCCTGATGTGCCTGGAGCTGGGTCCTGTGGCAGCGGAGAGCTGGGAAGCTGCTTGCAGGCACTTGCTGGGAAACGCCTGGGGGAAACGTGCTGGGCTCGTGTCTCTGCTCCTCTGCAGTGGGCGTGGAGCTCTGCCTGCTCTGCCAGCCACAGGACTCTGAGCAAGAACTGCCAGAGCCCTGGGAACAGAGGTGAACTGAGCTGACTCGGTGCTGCAAATGACTTTGAGAGCGGAGGGAGAAAGGACAAGACCTAAATTCCCTACGAAGCTGTCAAGTCCGCTCCCTGCCAGAAGGAAAGAGAGTGCAGGAGTGGCGGAATCCTTGTGTCAGGCAGTGTGGAAGGCCAGGGCAGCTGGGGAAAAAGGGGCCTGTGAGAAACACCCAGGACCCAGCTGATCATGAAACAGCCCTCCAACCCTACCCATCTCCCACATTCCCTTGTGCTGCCAACAGTGAGAGCTGCTTCCCGTTCCTGGACCTGCTTGCATGTTCATGGCAATCCCAGAGGTGAAGAAGATATTCATCCCAGCCAAAGTGCCAGGCTAGAGGAAAATCTAGCACAGAATGGCTCTCCCTTGGAGGCCTCCAAGCTCCAGCAACTTCTGCAGAGAAGAGCCAGGAAAGCCCTGGCTCTGAACTACTTTTTCCCTAGACATCATGTCGCCTCTGAGCAGGAGTATGGTTCACAGCTTTTTGGTGGTTTCTGCACCGGTTTGTCTTGCCCTGGCCGTGTCAGCTCTCACACTTGACTGTGATCCCGACACCTCACCAGCAAGTGTCTGCCGTGGCTAGCAGCGCCTGGGAAGCTCAGGGCTGCTCTTGCTCTGGGCCTTCCAGCCTTCATCCAGCTCACACCAGGTCCCACAGCACAGAAAGGAGCAGCAGAGGAAAAGCCCCAGGAAACAGCAAAGTCTCAGGGGTTTGTCCAGACCAGGGAGATAAGTGATGGGTAGCACAGGTGAATTCAACCTCAGGAATAATCAAAAAGCAGAATTTAGTAGAGGTGATAAAGTGTAAAATGAACAGGAAGGAGGTAAGATTAGCAGCATATGACTCAGTTTCATCAGGAATCCAGCTGCTCAGATAAGAGAGGCAGGCAGTGAGGTGGCAGTGTTTGCCAGTGACATGTTACTTCAGTTACTAAAGAGTGATAAGAGAGAGGAAAGCCTGCAAGTGGCACAGATGAGCTGCAGTCAGCTGCAGTTAGGTTTCTTTAAAGACCTTGCAAAATCCAGTTAGAGAGACTTGAAACCTCCAGACATTCTGTAAAAAGAACCAGATACAAAACCTGTAGGCCAACTAGTGAGTCAGTTTTAATAAATTAAAGTTGGAGGAGTCTCTTTGCCACCCTGGAAAAATACTTATCCCATGTAATCAAAAGAAAGAAAAGCATCACACTTTAGCAGTGGGCTCTGTTTTAATGTAACAGGCAAGAAAGAGACAAATCCAGCCAGGTCAGAACCCCAGCACTGGATGAAGGAGATTGGATGGTGCTGCTTCTTCCCAGCTTTTTGGGTGAGGGCGTGTGAAGGTACCATGAACTGTCATATTCTGAGCTTCTTTTAAGGCCGAAACCCTCACTTGCTCTTTTCTGAAGTCATCTCCTTGTTTTGCAGATGCGACTGGAGAAAGACAAGTTTACTGTAAACCTTGATGTGAAGCATTTTTCCCCTGAGGAGCTGAAAGTGAAGGTGTTAGGGGACATGATAGATATCCATGGGAAACATGAGGAGCGCCAGGTACTTCTGCTTTCACTACATGGTGGATAGAGTCAGTTCGAACTTCCTCACCTATGGTAAAATGAGGAGACTGTAAATGCATCCTTTCCTGTGCTCATCTGCAAGCACTTATAGTGTTTTTTATCAACTAATGCTAAAAGAAGATGCTCTTTGTAATCGCCCTCACTGATTCCAGACTGGGCAGCAACAGGATAGGGATTTATTGCTGGTTATATGAACTGTGAACTGAACTGGAAAATCAACATTGAAATGTGCATTTCTGAGCCTTCCTCTGGCTGGGAAGAGGCCAGGAATGCAGGCAGGCATTCAATAAGTTAACAATGAACTGTAATAATTAAACCACATAATGAATAGTCCATTACCCTGTTCTGTTAGTAGGAGGTTATCTCTTCCTGAAAAAGGCCCATTTACCAGTTTGCAATCTTTAAGGGTTGTGTTCTGCTGCTGGCCATCCTACCGCCTGCTGGCCCTAGGGACCTGTGTGCTAGCCAGGCAAAGAGAAGTCAAAAGCCATGTAGAAAGCTGTACAAAACAGGGTTTTCCAGTTCTCTCACCCTGCCACAGCAGAAGGAAACAAATGCTGGTGGCAAAGCAGCTATGCCAGTGTAACTGTCAGCACTAAGAGCTTCTGGGAGCACAGATTTGCCAGTCAGGAAACTCAGCATTGTCTGCTGTAGCTGGGCCAAATCTGTAATTCTGACATTGCCCCTCCAAAGTTTTCTGGCTAAGAAAATAATCAAGTACTTTAGCAGAGATTAGTTCTTTGGGAAGCTGTGTTTTACAAGAACCCTAGAGACCCTTGGGAATAGGTGTGGTACTGGATGTAGCTCCAGCATCTTAGAAGTGGCCTCATAGTGCTGGGTGACAAAGGCAGTATGGCTGGCACAAGAGCAGCAACACAAAGCCTCCCCCTGCAAACACAGGCACCCATGGTCAGGGCTGGGCAATGTCTGACTTTAGCCAGTCCTGGCACTTTATAAAGACATCTCATGGTAGACTTAAAACATTCAGAAATATCTTCCTTTGAGGGCTCAAGCATCCCAAACTCAGGCTGTATGCAAAGGGCCCATGGTTTGGTTGGAACTGAGTGAATACTTCTAATCAAGGCTGTCCCTTTTCTTTTCCTTTTGAAGGATGAGCATGGCTTTATTGCCAGGGAGTTCAACAGGAAATACAGGATTCCAGCTGACGTGGATCCCCTGACCATAACCTCGTCACTCTCTTTGGATGGTGTCCTGACAGTGAGTGCACCAAGGAAACCAAGTGACCAGCCTGAGCGCACGATCCCTATCACCCACGAGGAGAAGCCTGCCATTACGGGAGCCCAAAGGAAGTAGGCTGCTATTTAAAGTCAGACTTGGGCTTTTCAAGAACAGTTCACGCCAGATGCCAGCTGTAGTGAATGGCCACTCTTATTTATTTATGCTGAGTAAATTTACTAACAAATAAAACATGAATAAGCACTTCGTATTTCGGCTTCTGAATGCTCAGGATATGTGAAGCGTTGTCTTAAGAAAGCTGCGTCAGCTTCCTGTGCAGTGAAACATACCTGGCATCATTCCCACTTACAGCCTTAGCACTGGTGTGTCCAGGAGAGCTCGTCCTGGGGGTCAGAACCACTTTGCTGGTTTCATATAATTACGCCCAGGTTTTGCAAATGTTTAATTGCATGATCCCTTTCCCTCAGTTTTTCTGGAGGATTTCGGAATATGTTTCACAAGCAATTGGAAAGTCTCTCCACTGGAGATGAGACTGATAAGACAACTACATGACAGTTGAAACCCATTCTAAATATGGGTATTAGGGTATTAGATAACAACTGAAAGGGGGACAATTGTATCTTAAATCTCTAGAATGACTCATGGTATGGGGAAGTGTCCAAGTGCTGCAACCAATTCAGACCCTTTGCAAATGACGGTTGCATAGCTGCTGTAAACAGATACGCCCAGAGCAGAGAAAAATGTCCTGCTCTCATGGTGCAAATCACATCACTTCAAAACTATGTGACCAGTGCCCTTCAAACAATAAATAGCATCTGAAGTCTAAAATATTAATCTGATTTATGCTAACATTGTTGAGCGGTACAAAATGCTGAAAAGATCTTCTCAGGTGTTACCAGCTGCTTAGTATCTCCGGTTTCAAAGAGATACCAGCATAAAGGAAAATCTGTAGTAATGGAATTGAATCTAATTCTTGTCTAAAAAGGACAGAATGCCACAAATATGTCCAGCAATGCCTAGATGGTGACACTCAGTTATGGCTCAAGCTATTTTCTCTGTCCGTTATGCAAGCTAAGACAAAAAAAAGACCTTATAGAAGGCATCAGTTTAAATTTCGAATGAACTGAAAGCGCATACTTCCTCCAAGGCCATAAGTCAGAGAAATAAACAATCAGTGATATGGGATCATAGTCAAATGTCCCAAATCCCACCAGATGCCAGGTTCTAGCATTTTCTATTAGCTGGTTGTAATACGCTCTTCCAGCTCACAGTCTTATTTGAACCTCACTGACAAGGCACAGCATGATCTAGATGCCCTGTTATCACCTCTGCACACAAAAAAGTGACAGAAAAACAACCAAGTGACAAACAGTACAGCTTGGGAAGCAAGAAGAATATATTTCATGTGGTGCTACATTTGGTTTTAATGTCTGACAGTTTTTTCTGCTTGAAGGCCATCCTTGCAGTACAGCTGGCAGACAGGCCTCCTGTCACTCTGGAGGCACAGGCTGTAGCTTTGCTGTTATTTTTTCCGCATCCTCCTCCTCTTTCTCTGAGCCTGGGACGTCAGCAAAGGAAATGCTCTCATATGGAGGCCTGTAGTCGATCATGTAGCAGGACTGCTCAGTTGGTTTGAAAGGAGGCGGTTCCAACTCAGGCTGGTGGCCTGGAAACCAGTGAGGTTCTCGCTTAAATCCTAAAAGAAAAACAAGACAAATCAAAACAAACAAAAACTTGAGGTGCAAAATAATAAGATTATATCCAGAAAGTGAAGTTGAGAGATATTTTTGCTGCACAGTAGTGTTTAGGCTACAAACTCAGCAGCAAGAAATGGGAATTTTGAGTGGTAGCTCCTTAGGGACAGAGGTGATGAGGTCAGCTGGACGAGAACACTTGAAATGCAAACACCACTCCCTAAATGACTTGAAATACCTGTTACATGGTGCTGTAGGAACACGACTTAACAACAAGAAGGGAAATCTGAATTCTTTCATCTCTAAGCACTACCGTCACTTAGAAGCTTCTCGTCAGCTCCTCTACAAACCAGATTATGTTTTTGTGCACCTACTTCTCGTTATTTGATGCTTTCCCTTGTCGAAATCTGAAGAGTAAGTCGTTTCAAAGCAGTGAGAATACTGAAAAGAAAATCTCTTATTTAGTGTGGCTAAACACAAGTAAACATTAGCATTATTCTAATGCTATCTACATGTAAGTAAACTCTAGCATTTTGTACCTTATGAGAAGACCAAAGTATCTGCAATTACAGTACCTCTTTAAAGACAGGTTAAGGTAGGATGGCAAAGCTTGGGTGACTTAATCTGACTCACCATAAAAGGGCAAAACCCTGAACGGCAAAGGGAATACAGTTGGATTGGGGCCATCTTCAGAAGGAATAAAAGCAATTAACTGAAAAGCCATTTCTGAAGTTTGCACTTCTGGAGCAGGACCCTTGTAGATAAGGTTGAAGGAGCAAACTGTTTCCTTGCCTCACTTTGAAGGCCCAGTAAGAAAGAAAGGCGCAGGGCACCTATCCCTGCAGATCTCTGTGCCACAGATGTGCCAAGAATAGAGCGATAAAGCCCCGGATCCAACTGAGTGCGCTGGGGCTCACTACGGCTCTCTAAAGGCAGAAGAGGAAGCACACACCTGGGAAGCAAGGGGCTTGGGCTGCACGACTTTCTGGATATTGAATCGCTCCTCGTTCCAGTTCCCCATGAGGGTTTTGTGCGAATAACTGCTTTCGTTGGTGGTGCACCTCCAGCCGAACTGTGCAAACTTGGCAGTCGGGCTCCAGTCTGCCCACACCTCTCCATGGCCAGTGGCGCGCAGCAGCGAGCCCTGCCCGGGGAGCCATGGCCCTGCCTGTGCCATGTGCTGGGGCAGACAGGGGCCCAAAGGGCAGCCCTTTCCTTCCCGATGTGGAGAGCAGCGCTACTTTTCTCGGACTGGACCTAGGGGGTCATTTATCCCCCCAGAGCAGCTGGGACGTGTAGTCCCTCGCGCACGGGCCGCGCTCAACGGCCAACGGCTGCAGTCCCCCGCCGCCCGCTCCTCGGGGCGGCG